AAATAGAGACCTCAAATTGTTTTAAATACCTGTCCTTTACTATACATATACTAATTTTATTAGCAATAGGTAACAAATGAGAAATTTCTGTAAGCTTGGCCTGTATCTTTCATACATTTAAAAATTAAGTTACCAAAAAAATTTACCACTTTCAAAGCAACACCCACCCACCCAGTTCTAGACCTGGAAATACCATGAACTAATGCCAATAATGGAAAAATAACTTATACAAACATGACAGAAATACACTTGCCATATCTCCTGGCCTGTCTGCAAATCCCCCGGTTTCTTCATCTTGACATGCTAAGATGAAACTACGCAATTTCTCTCTGTCAATCCAGTGAAGCCTTCCAATTATCTTTAGGGAAGCCAACACCCACCATGAATAACATACATCTGGTAACTAGGAAGGGAAAAAAAGGTCACAAAAAGTTGTCACAATTTTATTCTTTTATTTCCCTAGTTTTGAGAACAGTTTAAAAGGGGGTTAAGTCTCACTCTTAAGTAACCTAATGTTCAAACAGTAGGGGGCAGGAGGTAGGAAATCAAGGGATATACTGACTCGTGGTGCTTAAAATGCTTGCTTAGAATTAAAGATAATGAATGAGTAAGAGAACACTAAACTCCATTCCACACAATCTCTTTGTCAAAATCAATTGTAATTTCACACCCGTGGATGGACAAGAGTGTCTGGGTATGGATATCAGGATCAATGAGCATTTCAACTCAAGGGGTTCTACTTTTCCCAAAGGCAGTCTTTTTAGGAGATGTTACTGAAAAATTACAACAGAGGAAGATAAAAAGCTCATAGTCAACTTGCAAGAATACTGAACTGTGTGCAAGACAAAGCAGCAGCATTCACTCAAGGTTATAAAGCTAACACAACACAGCTTATGAAACAGTACCTTCTCTGGTCTTCCATTGAGTCCACCTGAGGGTAACTGTCGTTCACAAAGCCACCAACCAAGTAAATCAGAATTTACTTGGTGCAACTGACTGGTAATAGCCAGGAATCCTGTGCAACAATAGATCTAAAATTACAGACATAAAGTACATGTGTATAGTAATTTCTTGATAGTAAAACTGATAAAAACTATTCAAATTATTAAAACTTGACTTTGTATCTGAAGTTTTAATTTCTGATGTAATAATTTAACACCCAAAAATCCAAGCACACTATTACTAGGATCCAATTCTGCACTGAAATACTGTTGTCAAAATTTCTTCATGGCTAAGAATTTCACAATTATTTACATACAGAACGTTCTCTGGCACAAGTAAAGAGGTGCTCATTTAGCTCAGGGTAGGTAGGGATAGAATGTTTTCATCTGCATAGTTCATTGAAAATTAATGGAAGATGTAAATGTATTTTCGTGTTTATGAACCTACTCATGCTTGCTTGGGGTTAGAGGGGACCCACTACATAAAAGCAAGTTATTGTAAAAATACCACCCTTACTTAGCAATTAAACAACTCTTACACTGCATCCCGTATCAAACTCATCACCACATTCATATTAACAGACACTGAAATTACTACTGACACTGTTCCCCATTTTATTACATTGGTTATCTCTTCGAAATTGACACTAAATTTTAATCTGCATTAATAAATTACCTGCCCAGCATGGGATTCAGAACCTGGTCTGCAACCAAATCCACCATCAAAGTTCATACAGGATAAAACAAATTCAATTGCCTTTTCCACATTAATGGCATCAAGCTTCCCCTATTAACAGAAAAAAATGCCTACTGAATTCCACAGTATTCACGGGCACTTAATCATTTCAATACAGTATTCAAAACTTACCAATAGAGCCAAAGTTGCCACTGCACAAAAGGAGAATCTTGTATCAATTTCTCCTAAAGTAGAGAGAAATAAAAGCAAACCATGTTACCAGAGGCTTCTTATCATTATACACAGTTATGTTACCTAAAAACAAAACCTGTACAACTACCACATTAAATTTCCCATCATTCAAGCTTGACTTTTAGTCAGGAGGAAAGCTAAAGTTAAATGCCTTTACTTCTCAAGAAGCTAACAACTAGAAAATTGTTTTGTCAAAAATAGCAAGTTATCTAAGTTGCTTACGAATGCCCAGAAAAAGAAATGAACAGACCCAAAAGGACTAGTCATTTTTTAATAATGCAAATAAACTTCCTCTAAAGTAGATTTTCATATCCCATGAAGCAGCTGGTCTCTCTGGCCTGCACTGTGTTCATCCCTGAAACAGAGATTATCTGGATTTACCAAATAAAATTCTATTTCCTCCCTCCACACAAATATTCAGTAAGTTTGTAAAGTTCTTGGAGTATGTTTCCCTTTCTAGCAAGTAGTTTCAAAACTTTACAAAGCCACCAAATATTGGGGAAAAAATTTCACCTACCTTATCTGGCCCCCTGTGTTCCAGTGCTCCTGTATGCTGACATAACTACCACAGTGCATGCTGGAACTTCCAGCAGACCATTAACTCCAGTTAGACCAGCTGCTTAGTGGGACCTGAAAAAATGAAAAACTTAAAAAAAAAAAAAATCCTTATAAATAGGTCACTAGCAAAGCCAGGGCATTGTAATGTCGCTATTTTGGGTAGCATGGGTCAAACTGAACATTACCTACCCCAAATGTCTCCAGCAAAAGAACCATCTTCTTTCTGCAGACTTTGAACATATTCCACAACTTTGTTTATGTCAATAACATTAATACTATCATACAGAGTAAGAATCTGCAATGAAGACAAATATTAGGTAAATATTCCTTCAAGTTTATTCTATGCTGTTACCAACTCCCTGTAAGTTGTCACACATGTCCTTTTGCCTATGTGTATTAATCTTTTCTCAAGTATGCAGACCATCTTGTTATTTAATAAAATTATAGGTATTACCAACAAACTCAAAACTTTAACAATATAATTCTCTGCATATAAATTGTAACTTGGCATTCCAAGATACTGAAATATACCAACTCACATATACAGAAATAGATTTTAAACCACCACGTGTA